CTGTATACTTGAAACTACTAAAATTTTTAAAAATGCAAAAAGAAACTGGTGAAAAAAAATTTTAAATGATCAAGTTTATCTGAACATGTTGATGAATCAATTTAACAAGTGTTCACTGAACATCTATGTTCTAGGTTCTATGAAAAATACCATATAAGTAAAACATACAGTCTCTATTCTCAAAGTGTTTAAAATCTAGAAGGAAGACATAAAACAAGTTTGACAGAAAGAAAAAAAAGACTAGCTGCAAAAACAAGCACAAGAAGCAATAACTCAGAAATAACATGTACCGTATCACATGCACTCACTCAAGCATCTACCCATCCAACACGTATACAGCAATTATCAGTACTAAAAATTTGGTATACGAAGATAGATAAGATCAACTAATTTAAGTTATATTAGAAATAATCAAATAAATGTCTATAAAGGTGGGATATAAATCAGATTTAAATGAAATCTGAGATTCTAATAGACTCAAATTATGATTGGTATTGACATCTGGATGCCCATTCTTACCACTATATTCAATGCAGTATAGGAAGTCCTAGCCACAGTAATCAAACAAGAAATAAAAGGCATCCAAATTAAAAAGGAAGAAGTAAAACTGTCACTATTTGCAGATGACAAACTATATATAGAAAACCGTAAAGAATCCACCATAAAAGAATTCAGCAAAGTAGCTGTATACAAAATTAATATAAAGAAATCTGTCAAGTTCCAATATACTAATAACAATCAGAAGGAGCAATTAAGAAAACAATCCCATTTACGACTCCATCAAAAAGAATAAAATACCTAGAAAAAATTTAATCAAGAAGGTGAAAGAAAGACTGTACTCTGAAAACTATGACACTGAAAAAGAAACTGAAGAGGACATGAATAAATAAAAGGAGTATACCATGTTCATGGATTGAAAGGATTAATATTGTTAAAATGACCACAATACCTAAAGCAATCTGCAGATTCAATGTGATCCCTATCAAAATACCAATGACATTTTGGTATCATGTAAATGAAGGCCAATTCCTGATACTGGTCATTTTTTTTACTTTAATGTTTATTCTGTTGTCTGTACTTCTTCACCAAGACAAACTTCCATTACTCTCCTCCTTTTCAGAATCTTTTCAATATGCTTTTTGGTACTCCTGATCTATGATAAACTCCAGAACTTTAGTTTCTTTTCAAAACCCCTAACATCTTGCTTTTGTTGAAACCCAATTTTTCCCTGAAGATACATCATCCTCTGTAGACTTTTCCTCCTGATTATTCCCTCATATCTGAAAAGCTTCAGGGTCAGGAAACAAAGTTCTCTGCTGTTTTTTCTAAAGTTGTTCCTCCAAAATTGTGGGGGAAAAAATGACTTTTTTCTTTTAAGGCTCATGTTATCCTGTCCTCATAGACATTATGTCTTGAACATTTCATCTTCATTCCCTGAACATTTCTTCTTCCTTCCTAGAGAATAATGACTTTGATTCAATTTTCCTTTATATTTCAATTTCTGCCACCGTCTCGTGTGGTTTCAGTGTCCATGTGGATAATCCATCCAAGAACCTGGCTTCTTTTGACCAACTTATCTACCTCCAGTGATTTTTACCTTTATTCTATCTCAGATGTCCATTCTTACCATCACTCTGGACCCTGGTCATCAAATCACATTAGGTGAAAACATTCTCCTTTCTGACCACAGTCCCCATCTTTCCACATTTCTTGCTCAATTACTCCTCTCATAGCTGTTCTTTGATATCCTTGGGCATTCAGTCTACTAACCTTTCTTCTTTCTCCTATCAGTCCATTTCCAGCTTCGCTTCTCTCTTTATTCCACATAGATTTCATGGTTCACAATTTAAATAAACACCTTGAAACTATTTGTGCTTCTCTGTTCATGCCAGACACATCAATTCATATCTTTCTTCAAGTAACTCTCCTATATCTTACACTCCATCTTTTTGTTACATCATTTGCATTAGTATTTAAGCATGCCTAAATCTCTCTTAATTTCAAAAACATCTTTCCTGAATCCCCACTTTCCAAATACTGTTCCCCCTCTCTTCCTATTTTCACAGCCAAACTTGGTGGGAAAGTTGTCTACATGATTGCCACTCTATTTCAGATTCTGGCCTCTCTACCCCACTTAAACTAGTCCCTCCAAGGCTCCCCATTACCTCCATATCCTAAATGCAAGGGGTAGTTCTCACTACTCAGATTATTGGCCCACTGGCGGCACTTAACAAAGCTGATTATACCTTCCTCCATAACTTCATTCTTGGCTTTTGTGCCATTTTACTACCTCTTTCTTCCTACCTTATTTCTCCTTTCTCCAACCTTTCAATCTAGGAGTTCCTGAGGACCTTCTCTTCTCACTCCTGAGCCAATCCCATCCACTCCCATGTCTACTTCCCATAACTCTGTGTTCACATACAACTATAAAATGGAATTGAATTTAATGAAATATAGACATCTCAGAACATATTAAGTACATGCTATCATTAGAACTTAAGAAAACTTAAGTTTTCCACTAGGCCTCGTCCTTCCTCTCATCCCTTTGCTTACCCTCTAGCTAGAAACACATCTGTTTATTCATCCTCGCCACAATGACCAGAGGCCAAATCCTCTCACCCTTTCTCTCTATTTTTTCTTTAAACTAACAAATGATTATCATAAATGATACAAATAATACAGAAGTAAATAAATATATAAGCAAAAAAATCACCTTAAACTTTACCATCCATAAATTGTTATTAGGTAAACATTTTGCAGATATTCTATAAATATGTACAGAAATAGGAATAGAAATATTTTTATAAAAAATGGGATCAAACCAGTTCTTTATTTAAAACCATTTTACTTTATATAAATTTAATAGAAGAAAATGAAATAAAATAATTGAATTTTATGTAAATATTTCTTCACAGAGATTATTTTCTAAATAAATGATGTTTTTCTAAGTTAATACATCTATGCTAAGAGAACAGTTATGAAGAGGACTAAAAGGGGAATAATTAGGTTGCAAACAGAGAATACCTGCAGATTTGATTCGCATGTGTGTATAGTTCTATAAGGGTATTTACTGAAAACTTCATGAATTGGTAAAGAATATCCCACCAAGATGAAAGCAGACTTACAGAGTGTTATCTGACTATATGAGTATGCACCTCAGCTAAAGAAGTCATACGCACATATAATATTCAATTTCAATTCCTACTTGTCTAGAGGAGAGATCAGCAAACATTTTCTGTAAAGGGCTAGATAGTAATACTTTAGGCCCTGTGGGCTATACTTGTTTTCTATTGATGTGTAACAAGTTACCACAAACTTAGTAGGTTTTAAAATACCCATTTATAATCTCATGGTCTCTGTACCTCAGAAGTCTAGGGGGTTTCAACTGGCTTCTCTGCTAAGAATCTCATAAGGCTGAGTTCAAGGGGATGGCTCAGCTGGGCTCTTTCTTATCTGTAGGATCTGGGGAAGACTCTTCTTCCAAGTTCATTCAGGTGTTGGCCAAATTCAGTTTCTTGCAGCCGTAGGACTGAGGTCCCTACATTCTTGTTGGCAGGTGGTCAGAGCTCTTAGAGGTCTCCCTGTCAGCTCCTAGAGGCTGCTCGCAGGTTCTTCTACCACAGGCCTTTCCAGCTCAGCACCAGAGAACTTCACGCTGAATCCCTCTCATGCAGTATATTTATTTTTTCTGCTACCAATCAGCAAAACCTCTTTTCTTTTAAAGGGTTCATGTAATTAGGTTAGGGCCATGCAGATGATATATCACCTTAATGTCAACTGATTAGTAACCTTAATTATATCTTCAAAATCCCTTTGCCCTGTAACGGAACACAGTCACAGGAGTAATACCAGAGAATGAAGTCATGGCCACCAGTCTGTGCCCTGGTCCCCATGGGTCACATTCGACCCACATGTAAAATGTATTCACCCCAGCTCAAGGCTCCTAAAAGTCTCATCCTATTATATTATCAGTTCAAAGTAGAATCTAAATCTCATTACGTTAAAGTCCAAAATCTTATCTAAATCATCTAAATCTGGTGAGGATATAGCTATTGATGTAATTCATTAAGTATAACTCCTGGGAAAAATTCTTCCTACTTATGGACCTATGTAACTAAAGAGACAAGTTGTCTGCCACAAACGCTTCCAACGTTTAAAAATTTTAAGACCAAAAGGTGATAGTAAATACAGTATATCCCCCTCTGGGTTTGTAGGATGATACCAGCCATTACTGAGAAAGTTGATAACTTAGTATAATGTTAAATTTCAGAATCGACATTTTCAGAAAATGCCTTTCTAAAAAAATGATACTGGCAGTTTATCAGGAGAGAAAAAAGTGTAGGCAATTTTTCAGATGTAAAAAGACAAAGTGAATGTTCTGCCATTCTTAATATGGTTTTTAAACTTTCTCGTTGTTTGCTCTGAGTGATCACTAGTTAAAATGATATGGTTCTACTGTGAATGAAGCGCCTAAAGAACAAATGCTGCGTGGAATAAGTTCAATGAGATTCTAACCTTGTACTTATGCTTATACATTTAAAAGCTTAAAAACATGTCCCAGGCAGCAGAACATATTCTATGAGAGCAAATAATTTCTGCAGCATATCAAGGAAGATATAGGGCTAGATAGTCCTTAATATTATTATCACCTTGTTTTAACATGGAAAGAAAACAATAAATTCTATAAGGAGTTCAGATGATGTCAGTCAAGCATCTAATAAATGTTTAACAAAGGAACAAATGTTTAAGACACTGGGCTAGACTCTGTACAGGATAAAATAAAATACATAAAATAAATCATATAATCTTCAAGGGCCACTATTACAGATGAGAAAAAATTATATCTACCTATCCAGGGCTTAGAAACTTTGTAAAGGTATGATTACTATGTAAAAAATAGACTGAAAAAGTTGTTGGGTTTAAGATAGATTTTTTTAAAATAGTGCATATTATATACCATGAACTTAAACTGTATTAAGGCTATTTGATCAGATACTCACAGAATGACTGTAAGAAGGTTCCAATATCACAGGTAATGACATTTTCCCTTGAAGATTCAATTTTGTTAAATAAAAAATCTTTTCCCCCACAATCTTTTCTTTTTTCATGCGATGTACACCATACAGTCTAAATCGAACTGCATAATTTCCAATCATCTCAGATTCGACATGATTAAATTTGAATGTTTCTGTGAAGACGGGGCATGGTCCTCTCTGGATGCTGGTTTTTGCCCTCTGTTTCTTTATGGGGAGAAGAACAAGGTGTACTTGCCATGAGTTGCCACCTGTCCTGTTATATGCTGGGATATCTGTGACAGCTGTCACTGTTACCAGAAGCTTCTGTTCTTGTGAGTCATAGTCAAAAGTCACATCCAGTGTGCCATACTTAGCTTCTGGCTCAGGATCAAAAGGTTTAGGAAGCTGTGAAGATGATCCTTGGGCTGATATGTCCTAAGAAAAGCAAATTTAAATGTTTTCAGTTTTTAACTCTATCATAATGTAGCATGTAAAAAAAACACCTGATAATTCTTTAGAAAAATGATGTGAAAACTGTTCTGATTTGTTATCGCAAAGTAAGTAATAATATTAACAGTTAACTACAATCAGAAGCTACTCTAAAGGGCCAGGGTAGTATAAGTGGTAATTTAAACTCAAAAAATTATCATAAAGACACAGAATTTGATGTTCACCATTACAATTTTGAGAAAGTTTGATATGTTTCTATAATTAGAACTGAAAATACACACTTCAAAGTGTATCTCTGTTCTTTCGTAGGAAACTACTAAATTTTACTTTCAACATTATTAACAATGCAACTGACAGTTCAACATTAGCTGGAGAAAAAGAGAACATAAATAAAAGTATTATGCTTTTGAATAAAAACGGTCCCCTTTTCAAAGTTTGTTCTAAAATGCCCCCATTTGTAATAGAATGTAAACACATTTAAGCTTAAAAATCAATGGAAATGTGAAATATGAGAGTTTAAAACAAAGGCCTTAAAACATTTGCAGCCAAATACTTATTTTCCATAACATATACTATTTAATTTTTAATCAGAATTTAAACTACATATTATTTCTAATACTAATTACTGTTGAAAATGGCAGAATACACACTTCAAAGAAGTTTAAGAAAGACCAAAACTGTTCATTTTAATTATGAGATTAAAAGAAATTGTACCCATTTTACCTGTAATTGTGTCTAATTCCTGCCAGTGTAAATATATGGAACATAACAGGAGTTTCAGCTAGTAATGACAGCGCCAAACCCAGGTCTCTGACCCTTCAACTATACCACTTGCTCCTTCAAGTATTTTAATAAATCTTAAATGTTTTTCATTTTACAATGTACACCGATTTTCTAGTTTTCTAAATTTTTCTTAACTTTATTTAGTGCCTGCTAATAGTCACGACTCCCAGTCTTCTGTTTTTGCATTTCCCAGAAGACTACCTGAGTTTTAGCCGGAAACACACTGCCTCACAGGAGACTATACTTCAAAAATTTCCTTTAGCTGATATGACTATGAGACTCAGCTCTGGCCAATGGGAGGCAAACAGAAGTTATGCATGAAACATCCAGATCGGGCATACTCTCTCTCGTGCTGTTCCCACGGAAGAGCAGATACACAGAGGGTGTGTGGGTCAGCATGGACCCTGTGGGCTAGAACACAAGCCTAGGGGAGGGCAGAGTGAAAAAAAAGAAGGAACGGGCCCCACACGATATTGTAGAGCAAAGCTACCTACTCACCCTGGACCAACGTTAGTGGTTTTTAGCCACTGCATTTGACTCCTTGGTATAGCAGCTTAACACGTACACTATTACACCTACTACATGCCAGGCAAGATGCAGCAAAAAAACCCAAAAAGAAACAAGCCTTTGACCTTATAAATCTTACATGTCTACCTCTGGTGACCCACTTAGTAACATGAAAAAAAAGATGACAAATGAAGAACAATACTTGGGAGAGGGAACAAAGTCTCATACAAGACTTGTTTTTCAATGCAATGAGATTAAACATGATAAATATATCCTTACTCTGTAAAAAAAAAATTTACATTTAGAGAAAAATGTTTTAATCCATGCCACTTCATAATGGTAATTAAAGATGATTAATTACATGGCTTTGATTTTTCAATTAAATATTTTCTAAAATAGAGTCGCAACAGCTAAAATTTTAAGGCAATAAAAATTTTCGTAAGGTTTTAGACAGCTATTTCTGAATTTTGTTTTAGTGTCTCCTCAATTTTTTTCCTGGGTATTCTGACAATTCTTGTGAAACTGAGGGTTAAAAGAGTGGGACCCTTGGAGATGGATCTAATATTTGTATTCTGCAAATAGGCAATTAGAAAATCATCTTTCCTTTCAAGGTGTCTTAATCAAAGTTTTGAATAATCTTCAGCTGGCAACAGGTCAATACCAGAGTTTCTGAACTCCTTACCATGGAACTCTTCTGAACCCTGGGTGCTCTCCCAGTTCAACAGGGCATGTGGGCAGGCTCTAAGATAGCTACCCTGAATTAAACCAAGAGGAAAGTAAGAATATTGTATCTGATTAATATCTATTAAAGGAAAAGTGAAAAGTGACATAAACTTGAAAAAAACACGAGTGAATTTTATATTAACATAGGCTATCTGCACCCAAATATTTATGTATTGTGCATTTGCTATAGAAGACACAAAACTGAGCAGGGTAGAGGAAACTCATAAGAAGTGTTAATGCAAATAGCAAGTTAGCAGCTTCTGATATATGGGCAAAACTCACAGGCTGTGTTAACTATAGATAATGATCAAGGAAATAAGAGACACAGGCAGAATTCTGAAGATGTGTTAAATATAGACAGTATCTAAGTCACTAACTTGTAAGATATGTTAAAGACAGAATAAATAGAAAATGTGATATAACAAATGAGTATTACCTATGAAAAGGAATGGAAAGCCCAAGACATGATCATGTCATCTCTGGGCTGATAGCTGTCACCCATGTGTTCTATTTAGGAAATGCAGATAAAACCTATGGCTATTTAGAAGGCCAATTGGCAAGTTTTACTGGTGACCAGGTATACTTGCCTCTGCCTTTCTCCCATAAAACAAGTTACATGTTTTTGGCCCTAGGTGCCTGTGCGAATCTCACCTCTCGTTCTCGTTACACCATCATAATTGGGGAATGTTATGGAGCAGAAAGAGTGAGATGGGACATATGGGCATTACGTAAACCAGGATTCATATAGCGTGGTTCTGCCACCTGTACCTACTGGCATCCTACCCTAAGTGTGTTACCCTACCTCATCTTCATCCTCTCACTTTAAATTTGAAATAGATTAAAACGCACACGTATGCACGCACACACACACGTGCACATGTGTTCACACAGTGTAATCTGAGCATCTTAATTTGGCCCGGGAGTCCTCTGGGATAGCTTGCCTGGTGGTATACCTGGAAGGTTCCAATGCATCGCAGTAATTTCCCACACAGTTATGTCAAGAGGGGCAATACAATGTAGTTAAGAGCACTGATTTTGCAGACAGGCAAACCTGGGTTTGAATTACAGTTGTACCATTTAAGAATTGCTTATACTTGGGTGAATGGCTTAACAATTTGAATCTTCATGTATTCATTTGTAAAACAGAAATAATAACTTCCTGAAGACGAGGTTGCTAGAATTAAATGAGTTATGTAAAGTTCACAGCAAAATTTCTGTCACAACTGGTGATAGCTATTGTTATTGTTAATTCCGAGTTCCAGGCTTCACCATTAACTTGCTAACTATCTCCATAGTCTGCAAACCTACCAGACAGCTGCCTCTAATGTGTTCAGATATAGAACACCGAGAAACAGTCTATGTGAAAGATCATGAAATATCGATTAATTAAACTTACAATACCAATGTAGAATTTTCTTCTAAGTTAGATATTATATTATAATACAAGAAATAGTAGAAAAGTAGAAAAACAGGTAAAAAGTGTTTTTAGAATTATGTAAGATAAATTTAAAATTATGGAAATTCTATTCCTAGCACTCCCTCCATTGTTTAATTTTGGCAGTAAATGAAAATTCACCTAGTAATAAAACTGACACACTACAGTTTTATGAAATACTGTCTGGGACAAAAGTTGTAAAAACTTGCAATCTAAAAGAAAATAAAATTTAAAAGTAAATACTACCTTATAAAAACCTATAGATTACTTTTATAGTTTTTATCATTATAGAAAGATTAAAATAAATTCTTTTTAGAACATGAAAGATTTTAAAAGTGTAACACCCTTATTTTTGTCATTTTCATATTTTTGCTCCAAAAAAGAAAATAACTTAAAACACAACCAATCACTCTGAATGCATGATGCCATGAATTCAAATTTCATTAGTAAAGCTGAACATGACTTATCTCTTCCATATTCTATGATATGAAAATGCAAAATTTTTATTTTGAAAGACTTGTAAAGCATTAATGGGCAGCCTCCCCACAGAAAAAATAGCAGAAATAAAATAACTTTTATAAAAGACAGAAACATAAATAGGAACCTCAAGATCAAAGAAACAGGTAAATAATTCCAAAATGTTTTCTATAAAATGTTAAATGAGGTTGAAACTTGGGGGAAGATCATTTTTCAGTTTCTTGTGTACTGCTCTCAGTTTTAGGTACCCATCTTCCTCTGTGGGTGGGGGGAGCTGAAGAATGTTGGGACACCCCTGATAAGTCTGGTGGATAAAGATCAGATCTAGGATAGAAACTGGTACCATAAGCCACAAAGGATAAGATAGTGATAAAATCTTCTTACCAAGAAGAGAAGCACGGGATAATTATCCTCCAAATAACATTCATTTAAAAAACTATGTGCTTTTACTTACTTCAGGGCTCAGGACTGCAGTGCTGTCACTTGGAACATCTTCTTCATATCCTTTATTATGAAAACTTTCTATTTCATGACCTGTGCTTCCTTCACTTGGGCACTTGTTATATGAGCATCTTGGACTGTTGCTGCAGTGGGAAAATTCACATTTACTGTCCCCAATTTCTGAGGGTGTACATGAGAGATGGGGAGAACCACTGTCATCCTGATATGGTGGTGGCTGCAATTCATCCAGTGGGGGTGTTCTTCTCATTCTCTGAATGCAGTTTCCTGATAATGATTAAGAATCTGGTCACTGTTTCCAAGTAGCCTCAACATGCAGTACAGTCCACAATAATTGTAAATAACTTAAAAATGTTAAATGGATTAAAAATGTGTGGCAATGTAACTATTAGATTTACTAATGAGTTTTCTTTCCTAGTTCAGATGCAGAAATAAACTAATCTGGTTTCCCACTCCTCTCCTACTGGACAATAAGATCATGAAAAATAAAAGTCAGAAACTAAGATAGATCCTGTTATATACTATAAAAATAAGAGTGATAAATATTAGTGAAATGACATATTTATTTAGTTTTTCCTTTTAAAACAATACTGAAGCATACATACTGCATCTGCTCCCTTAGATCTGTGGCCTCTCTAGTCCCAGTAGGTAAAAATACAGTAGGTAAAACAAACATAAAAACTTTATTTTCTTAAATTACTGAGATGAACTTATACTAGCATTCAGCTTAACAGTGTCAGAAACTATTTTCCACATCTATGCTAGATCCTGAATCCTAAAATGAAGTGCATTGTGAATCAAGGCCTACTCCCCATCGATCAGCAAAGGCTGAAGGCTGCATTCCATCTGATTCCAACTCCATTATCAGGAGGTCACTCCCTGCCTCATTCTATTCTACGTCTGTACTCCTTCTGAAGTATGGCTCCCCCTTGTCTGCAGCAGGCATCTCCACCTCCAGCAGTTAATTTGAAACCACATTTTCTTTCACTCTTAAATTATCCTTTTAATGTTTTTCTCAATGACTGAGAAGAAACATGTCTATGAATAGGACAGAGGTCGGGGCAGGAGGGGGATGTAAGGAAATAGAGTTCAGTATACAATTTAAGAATAGCTAAGTCTTTGTAGATGAATCCTGAATGCCACACCAGATATTAAATTTAAACAGTGCTCAGTTTTTCTTTTAATGGACAATGAATCTTTCTCAAAAGAGGGACCCTGAAAAAAGATAGCTTATATTATAATTCTTATAATGGAGTTTAGTTAAAATGTTCAATAGGTCTTCTGTTCTTCCTCAGATAGAAAACTTAACACAAGAACTATAAAACTCATTTTAAAATGATTACAACACCTGGTTCAAATGAAAAATGTTAATTTGTAGGAACAGCACAAATTTGCATATTTGCTCAGAAGTCCTAATTCTGAAAAAAGGAAAATTAAATGTCTTACCTAGTGAGTCTAACATACTAACTTCAGTTTATAAAACATATGCAAAAAATAGAAGTTACTGAAATCATATAGTGAAAGCTGCACTTGAAAAGAGAAGACAGGTTAAATACCCTACAGGTAATAGCCAATAAAAAACAATATCCCAGATTTCAGAGTGGAGCTTCCAGGAAAGCTTTTGTTTTCTGATAAACGCAGGCAGACTGATCTGGGATGCTCCTTTTGTCCACTGGCCTTTTCCTATCCTCCTGCCTGGAGGTGCAGCAGCCATCCTGTAACCATGAAATAACAACCATGGAAATGAGAGCTAAGGATGGAAAAGCAGAAAAACAAAGAATCTGGGCATCTGAAATATCAGTAGGTCCCTAGTTCCTTGGTGCCTGAGACAAATCCCTATTTGTTAGAAACAAAACAAAACAAAAAACCTCCAAAACAAACAAACAGAAACCCAGCAACAAAAAACTGATAGTTGGATTTCTGTTGTTTCCAAATATATTCTCTACTGGTAATTTTTAAATCATTAAACCAGTCTTGGTTTAATACCCTTGAATCCCTTCCCTTAAGATCGTATATTTAATCATGTATTGAATTATAAATTAAATAATATTTACTGTTAATAAAACATGAAGTTAATAAAAATTTTTCAAATGTAGTGATTCTAAGAGTCAGCATACCATCATTTCCTTTACTTTTATTTTATTTCTTCAAGAGAGGTGATCTTTCCCAGAAGTCTCTCAGGATATTACTCGACAGACAGAACCGGGTCACATGTCTATTTCTAAACCCACTTCTGGTAGGGGGAATGGGATTAGCATAATTGGCTTAGATTAATCAGAAGCCAACAAATTAAAGCTTGGGATAGAGTCAATTTCACCGTTCATATCTATATGGAAAAGAGTAGATGCCACTCACCAAGAAAAAATGGGAGAAGACTCATAAATAAAATTAGAAATGAAAAAGAGGAGATATTACAACTGATATCCCAAATACAAAGAATCATGAGAGACTACTATGAACAATTAGATGCCAAAAAACTGGACCACCTAGAGGAAATGGATAAATTCCTAGAAACAGACAACCTACTAAGACTGAATCTAGCAGATTTTTTGAACATAAGACCTGAGACCATAAAACTCCTAGAATAAAACACAGGGGGTAAACTCCCTGACACTGACCTTGACAATGATATTTTGGATTTAACAACAAAAGCAAGGGCAATAAAAGCAAAAATCAGTAAGTAAAACTATACTGAACTAAAAAACTTCTCTACAGCAAAGGAAATCAACAAAATGAAAAGACAACCCCTCCGATGGGAGAAAATAATTGCAAATCATATATCAGATAATGGGTTAATGTGCAAAACATATAAACAACTCATATAACTCAAAAGCAAAGAAAACAATCTGATTTAAAAATGTACAGAGGAACTAAATAGACATTTCTCCAAAGAAGACATCCAAATGGGCAATATGTACATGAAAAGGTGCTCAACATCACTAATCAAAACCACAGTGAGATATCGACTCAGACCTGTTAGAATGACTATTAACAAAAAGACAAGAGATAATAAGTGCTGACTGGGATGTGGAGAAAAGAGAACTTGTGCACTGTTGGTGGGAATGTAAACTGGTGAAGCCACTATGAAAACAGCATGGAGGTTCCTCTAAAAACAGGACTACCATATGATCCAGCAATTCCACTTGTATATTTATCTGAAGGCAAAAAAAAAATCACTACATTGAAAACACATCTGTACTTTCATGCTCACTGCAGCATTATTTATAATAGCCAAAACATAGAAACAGCCTAAGTGTCCACTGACAGATGAATGGACAAAGAAAATGTGATACAGGTACACACACACACACACACCAGAAATATTATTCAGCCATAAGAAACTAATCCTGCCATTTGTGACAACATAGTTGGACCTTGAAGGCATTATGCTAAGCAAAATAAGTCAGAGAGAAAAATATAAATACTATATGATGTCACTTATATGTGGAATCTAAAACAACTGAACTCATAGATAGCAGAGGTGGGGTGGGGGATAGGAGAAATGGGTGAAGGTTGTCAAAAAGTATAAACTTTTAGATAAACAAGTCCTGGGAATGTAATGTATACAGCACAGTGGCCAGAGTTAACTAAATTGTATTGTATATTTGAAAGTTGCTAAGAGGCATCTTAAAAGTTCTTATTAGAAAAATATATATAACTATGTGAGGTGACTGATATTAACTAAACTTACTGTGGTAAACATTTTGCAGTACATACATGTATCAAATAATTATGTTGTATACTTTGTTGCATGCCAATTATACCTCAATAAAACTGGAAAAAGAAAAGTAAAAAATAAATACACATGAATCAAAAGCAAAAATAAATAAATAAAGTAGATGCCTAAAGCATATAGGGTCAAGGAAAGAGGAGCATAAAAGATGTTGGCTAGAAAAACCAACATGATCAAGTTCCCGCCTTTTTTATCCTTCAGTCGGGTAATCTGATTTGTTTTCACCTTTATTAAAATACCTTCTCTTTCTGTGACTCTTTTCCCTTTTCTCGACTTCCTTTTGATGTGGGATCAGCACAATATAATTTCTGTCTGGTAATGTTACACCTTACTCCTTCGGTTTACTTTTCCCTGTCTAGTTGCCTGCCAACTGGGGTGTTTACACAGCTGAGCCACAGTTTAGATTCAGTGTAACTGCTCCAGAGACTAAGGTACAATTTACTCAAAACAGGGTAGTGACATTTAAAGATGCTAAGTAGGCTCCATAGGTAGACCTCACTACTGTTTCTGGATTTGAGAGAAACAATTTTAAAGCTGCAAATTGAAATATGTAAATTATTTGGAATATAAAACTATGTTTAATATACAGCAATATAAGTTATAAATTATATCATTATAATTATATAAATCCTCAAAGTTCTGAAAATACCTTTTCTTCTGTACAAATGTATGTCGAATAGAAATTTCATTAAAATGATACAATTAAGAAGATTTCACCTTTTTAAAAACTTTTGAAATAATCTTTTTTTCTCTGACTTCTTCATATCGTCTACATAGTGTAATAACTAAGAATTGGCTTAAATTTAGCTGAAATTGGAAAAATTTTAAGATAATTGTTTTACAAAGTAACAATTTATAATATAGTTGTTAAATTACACTGTAAACATCAAACCTTAGGAAAAAATTTCTAGTGGGATGATCAAACACCAAAATGATGATGCCCTACTATTACTTTATCTTTTGTTTTACAATGTAATTTCATATCCTATTTTACAGAAATTATATATCCATAAAAAGGTTCATGCATATATATATTTTAAGCATTTTAATCTACCATCTGCGTATTGCAGAGCACCTACAAAGCAAGACAAAGTGCCTTCTAACCGTGGGAAAAACAGGATGCATGCACGTCTGGAATACAACCTATAATTCTTAACATTATGTTTTAAGACAGTGGTTTTCAAAGTTTGAGAACTGAAGCTCTAAAATGGTGGTGAATATACATCTGTAGAATTCCCTGTTCAAGTGCCTGTGGAAATTTGCCAAAATTGATTTGATAGCGCATAATAAAGGCTCAACACATTTCACAAAACTGGAACGTAAAAAGGATGTTATCTGACCACAGTAGAATTAAACTAGAAATTGGGAACAAAAATAGAAATTAAAAAATCTATAAAAATCTAAATAAAATAACAAGAAATTAAAATATACTTCAAATAACTGGTGGATCAATGAAAAAAAAATCACAAAAGAAAACTAGGAGAAATGAAATAATAAAGAGCAGAAGTCAAACAGAAAACAGGCATATGACAGA